CTTTTTGACTACTGATGGTGAACGTATTTTCATATGCTTTCTTTGACATTCATATAGCTTTGGGGGTGGTGTCAAGTATCTGTTCAAATCTTTTGAACATTTGAAAAATTGTATTGTTTGTTTTCTTTGTTACTTTTTTAGAGCTATTTATATATTCTAGTTTCCAGTCCTCTACCAGCTCTATGATTTGCAAATATTTTTCCCAGTTTGTGGCTTGATTTTCAGTTCTCTTTAACAATGACTTTAAATAACAGAAATGTTTAATTTTGATGAATTCGAATTCATCTATTCTTTCCTTGATGGATCATGCTGTGATGTTGTATCTAAGAAAACTTTGCCTAACCCAAGGTCACAGAGATAGTCTCCTTTGCTTCCTTCTAGAAGTTTTATGGTTTTAGGTTATACATGTAGGCCTATGATCCATTTTGAGTTAAATTTTTCACTCAATATATTTTAGCTTACTGAAAACACTTGGAAATAATGACTAATCAATATCAACGAGAACCTTAAGAGCTCAGATTGTGGTGTATAAGTACTTTTATCTGCTAAAAATGATTAGGGCTCCTTTGAGAAAAGACTGATTTCGGGTCTGGGGCAGAAAATGTTCAGATTTTCCTGGAATGTCTTGTCATTCCAGAAGCTCTCAAAAATCTTAAAGAAGATTTAAGATTAAGTCTTAAAGGAGCTCTCAGAAACTGCTAGGGTTCTATCAAAGATCTTGGAAACTAATTTGAATTGGCTCTGACAGGTCAAAGATGGGACATTTTTAACATCAATAAGGATGATGGTCACAGTAGACTACAACACAAATCATTTTAAATCCATAAATTCATAAAGATTAAAAACACACCTTATCAACCACCTTTGGGGATTGCTAGTATACCAATTCATTAATCTAATAACTAGTAAAGGAAGGGAAAGAATCAAAACTAACTCTGCCTTTCCTATAGGAAGTATACCTCACATTAAACAAGTCACAGTGAGGGGAGATTTCTATTCAGAAAAGTATTCCAGCTAATGAATAAATGATGTTAGAATTAGAACACCTGTATCACCATTCTTCAACACTAATGAGTTAATGCAGCTCGGCAATGATCCTCTGTGACTGCTAACCTGATAAAACACAACATACCATCTGTGATGTGGCCTTGCCAAGACAAAAAAAAAAAAAGCTGAATCTGATCAAGCCTCTAAATTTAAATTCTTACTTTCAAAAATACAGGGAGGGGGCTTCCCTGGTGGCGCGGTGGTTGAGAGTCCGCCTGCCGATGCAAGGGACGCGGGTTCGTGCCCCGGTCCGGGAGGATCCCACATGCCGCGGAGCGGCTGGGCCCGTGAGCCGTGGCCGCTGAGCCTGCGCGACCGGAGCCTGTGTTCCGCAGCGGGAGGGGCCACAACAGAGAGAGGCCCGCGTACCGGAAAAACAAACAAACAAAAAAATACAGGGAGAAGGAGAACATGTTAAATAATACCAGAGGGATGAAATTAGCAAAGTTCAGTCTGTGAGAAACGTTACAGGACAAAAAACCCAGTTCTTCAGCTTTTAAAAAAGGATGCAAGGGAAAAGAAAAAGGTGGAAGAGAAAATTACAGATTAAAAGAGACGTAAATGACAAAATAATTGTTCCAGCTATCTTTACTAGCATAACAAGTCACTCCAAAATCAGTGTCTTCAAACAATGACAACATTACATTTGCTCATGAATCTGTAGTTTGGGAAGGGCTCAGCAGGACAATTCATCTCTGCTCCACTCACTTAACTGGGATGGCTTGAAGTTTGGGGGCTGGAATCAGTACACGTCTAACGGTTGATTCTCGCCGTCACCTGGGACCTCCTCTGGGTCTAGAGCCAGACCACCCACCCATGACCTCTCTGTGAGGCTGCTTGTCTTGCCTGGAGCCCGAATGCTGAGTTCCAAGAGCCAGAGCCCTAAGAGGTAGGTAGGTAGGTAGATAGATAGATAGATAGATGGCCAGTGGAAGCTGTACCACCTTCTATGACAGCCACAGAACCTCACTTCTGTTGTACTCTATTTGTTAGAAATTCTCCCAAGGCAAGGAGAATTAAATTTTACATTTTGATAGGAAGAGCATCAAGGAATTTTCAGAAAAAAATTTAAAATCCACCACAATAACTAACTACAAAAAAATCATTTAAAAAAAGAACAATTAGGACAATCATAGCAATGTAGATAAATGATAGTACATATATAGACATATGACATTGAATGTATGATGACATTAAGTAATTGTTGGTTTGGAGGTGTGTTATGATGGTATTGTGGTTACTTTAAAAAGGGATGCCTTCGGCTTCCCTGGTGGCACAGTGGTTGAGAGTCCACCTGCCGATGCAGGGGACACGAGTTCGTGCCCCGGTCCGGGAAGATCCCACATGCCATGGAGTGGCTGGGCCCGTGAGCCGTGGCCACTGAGCCTGCGCGTCCGGAGCCTGTGCTCCGCAACGGGAGAGGCCACAACAGTGAGAGGCCCGCGTACCGCAAAAATAAAAATAAAAAAGTAATGCAGTGCAAGTGTATTTTAGTATTTTCAAGAAAGAAAAAAAAGCTGTATGAGGTAACTAGATATCAACTGTCTTGTTAACAGCTTTTCTACTTTGGAAAATTAAAAATAAAACTTATTTCTATTAAAAAATTAAGAAGAGGTGATCAAGGCAGAAACTAGTTTCAAGGAAGTCTTAAATGAACATCAAAGAGATGTAAAACGGAGACCTGAAGCCAACTAGCAACAAAGGGTGAAAAGATATTCTCTTCCCAAATCCTGCTGGGATTCTGGGCTGGGGTACCAAAAGCCGGCATATCTCATATAAGCTAGTAGGAGAGGTCACAGGCAGTTCCAAGCTTTGCTTGTTCAAAGCTTTCTTATCTACATAAACTGAAAGTTCAAAGCTTTTCTTATCTACATAAACAGAATTATTTTATTAGGCTCAGCAGGTTGGAGAGAACCTGGCTGAATAAATTCTATCCTCATGCTTTGAGAATGGTTAAAAATGCTACCCACTGAGGGTTCCTCTAGAGATCTTCTGACATTGAGGCTAGAAGCCCTTAGAATCTAGGGACAAGAGACTCTTCAGAAGACCTGAAATAAGAATCTTCACCTGTGGGTAAACACAGCAACTCAAGATAAATTCATCTCTAAGCATCAGGAAACCAAAGGAGACGGCCTCATTTGCTCCATGAGCTTGCTTGCAATCCTTCTCAATTATGAGACCCGTAGACAGAACCTCTGCTTCCTCTCATAAGAACTACAATTTATGGAAAAGGTATTATTTATTTTCCAGGAAGGAGCCACCAGCCTTGATAGACAGGTTTGGGTATCTTAAGCCCAACCCCATGAGGCTGCTCACTTGTCTGCACTCCCTGTAAGAAAAATCTTCAGGGAATGCAAGGAAGCTGAGAATGGACTTGCCTAAATCCTTGTGCTATATGCAGCTCTGGGACTTCCCTGGTGGTCCAGTGGTTGAGAATCCGTCTTGCAATGCAGGGAACAGTGGTTCGATCCCTGATGGGGGAACAAAGATCCCACATGCGGCGGGACAAGCAACTAGAGAGCCCGCATGCCACAACTAAGACCCGATGCAGCTGAAAAAAAAAAAAATGCAGCTCTGCACCTAATGTGTGTTTCAGGAGTCCCCAAGGTTCAATGATTCATTAGAAAGACTCACAGGACCCAGTAAAGCTGTTACATTCATGGTTACAGTTTATTACAGTGAAAGGATAGGACTGAAACCAGCAAAGGAAAAAGGCAGATAGGGTGGAGTGCAGGAGATACCAAGCACAAGCTTCCAGTTTCCTGTCCAGTTGTCCTGTTCCAGTTGCACAGACAGTGCTCAATTTTCTCAGCACCGATGTGTGACAACATGTGTGAGGTGTTGCCAACGAGGCACACCAAGACTTTGATATCCAAAGTTTTTATTGGGGATTAATCACATGGGCATGCAGTGCCTGCATAACTCACCTTAACTACCCAGTCTCCAGCCCCTAGACATCAAACTGACACAGCATGACTCAAGGGTTCCATCATACAAACCACTCTTGTCAGGCAGGAAACTCCAAGGGCTCAGACTTCATTCCCCAGTAACTGGTCAAGGGCCAGTCCTGAAGCCCCTTGGAATGTATAGAGTTTGGGCAACTAAGTCCTGCTGTGTTAACCTTTTCCTGAAACTTACTTAGCACTTATTACATGCCACCTTTTATAATTAACTTCTTTTTTACCAAGTGAGTTGTATTTCCCCAGATGGGGTGGAGGACATCATAAGAGCAACAACAGTGTCTTATACCTTTTAGTACCCTGGGGGCTTGCAGAGTTCCATGTATTAACAGACACCCAATAGTCACTTCTGTTTCATGTGATTAAGGCTCATCTTCCAACTAGACTATAAACTTCCAGAGAAAAAGAACTGGACTGTGCCTGTTCTTTGCATACCTTTTGATGCCCAGATGTTATGGTCTGAATATTTGTGTCCCCTCAAGATGCGTATGTTGGAACCTAATCACCAATGTGATGGTATTGGGATGTCATTAGGTCATGAACGTGGAGCCCTCATGGATGGGATGAGTGCCCTTATGAAAGGTGACTCAGAGATCCCTCACTCCTTCTACCGTGTGAGGTTACAGGCAGAGGTGCTGTTTATGAACCAGGAGGTGGGCTTTCACTAGGCACTGAATCTGTCAGTGACTTAATCTTGGACTTCCCAGCTTCCAGAACTCTAAGAATCTTAACGAATTTCTGTTGTTTATAAGACACCCAGTCTATGATATTTTGTTATAGCAGACCAAATGCACTAAGACACCAGATCAGGGCTTTAATATGATAGGTGTTCAACAAATATGAGATGGTCAATGAACGTAAACATTCCCTTTTTCTCTGGGTCTCTTTGCTGAGGCCAGACCAATGCTTCATCAATGGATGGAGAGAGAGACAGAGAGTGTTTTGCAGAGAAATGAATTGCAGCAATGAATAATCAGCACAGGATTTTTTTAGAGACCAAAGGTTTTATTCCAATCAGGAGTCATTTACTTTTGGAAGCTATTTCTCTGAGTCCTTTGTGAAGAGGACAGCCTCAGTGATGCTCTCGGTGATGTAATCTATGTTGTAGGAATTGATACAGGTGAAGTTGATCCGCCCATTCTTGGGGATACAGATATGCTTTTTCTTGACCAAGTATTCCACCTGTTGGGCTGGTGATGACCATAGGGTCTCAGATCCTGAGGTGGCCACCTCTAGCTCCCCTCTAGCCTAGGGTGAATTATGGAGGGGTGGGAGTGTCGGCCTTTCTGGGGACCCAGAAGAATCTTTAAAGCAGCTCTACCTTCCTCAGGAAAGGATCAAAATCTGGGTGAAGCTAGGGACTGGTCACCTAGTCCATGAAGTTTATGCGCAAATACAAGCCCAAATACAAGGTCAGAAAGCGGGGAGCTGTCCCTTCCTAAACACTTACGGTTGAGTCCAAGATAGCTATGGGACCCCTTCTGCTCAGTGATGTGATCCCAGGAGCCTGGGGCTCCCAGGAGCCGGAGCTTCTCCTTATGACCTGTTTCCTTGGTCATCATGATGTTCTCTACAGCCCCTTCCAGACTCTGTTTCCTGCCAAGGGAAGGACATCAGGAATTTAAGAGTATAAGGTCTCCCTGTGCTCTCAGCCTCCCCATTGCCTTTCCCGTCTTCTCCCTTCAAAAGCGGTGGAGCCAGGCATGCACCTGGGATGGTTATAAATGGGAGGGGGTTTCAGCCCATATTAATGTAAGCAAGGGAAGCAGACTCTCAGGCAGACTGCCAGAGTAGCAGGCCCTTGGTGCTCCCTCATCTCTTCCTGCAATCTGGGAATGTTCAAATACTTCAATAATAATTTGACCTGGGTCTAAAAAGAGCATCCTGTTACCCACTGCCGCAGGCTGGGCAACCCTCAGCATAGCCGCTGCCATTGGCACACAGGGGCTCCTCAGTAAAGAGTAAAGAGGCAACGTGGGCAGGAAGAGAAGCAGCCACTGCATACCTGTGAGTCAGCAAGTCTGTGGGTATCCAGAGGCTCTGCCCACCCGTCCTGCCCCACCCCTCCCCCTTACCATTCTCCCTGCATAGCCGGGTTACAGAGGACAGAGGTGATAATGCGAGCACCCGTGGTAGGAGGGTTTAGCCACAGGGCCCACGCGAAGTCCATCAGCTGCGAGAGGACGCACAGCAGGAGCTCGTTACTGAGTGCCACCACCACGAGGATCCCCACTCCTTCGTCTGCAGCATTGGGACAGACAGCCTGTCTCAGCGCCCCCTCTGCCATTCCCGGGCCGTGCGCGCGGTCTCTGCCCCTTGCCTTGCTGAAGAGAGGGCTGGACCGCGGGGCCCGCCACCCTCAAGCTGGCATCCGTGCCCCGGGAAGCTGCCACAGGCTCCTCTTGCAGGAAAAAGTAGCCACAGGTAAGAGCCTTAAAGGTGGAAGGGACTTGAAATATCACTAACTCCCACCCCTCATCTTATAGTGGAGGAAACAGAAGCCTGAGAGGCGTGAGATGGGTCAGCTAGAGTCAGTTTTAGCAGCTGAGCTAAGACCATACCACAGAACCTGACTGGTAGCTCAGTGCCCTTCCCTTCTGCCGCCGGTGCCCTCCCTGGAGGCCTGGGTTCTCTCCAGAGGGTAGGAGATGTCAAGCGCGTCACTCGTGCCCAGGGTGGGGCACCACCAGGCCTTCCCTTCTCCTCCTGCCCACGTCATACCATAAATACCAAAATTCTTGGACAGAGACTGGCTGCCGAAGAACTCAAAGCCTCGAGACACAAAGTACTGTAAGAATCTAGCATCTTCGTCCAGGTCACCAGTCGCTAAACCTTGATAGGGAATGTCAAAAAATGGAAAGATCTGCTTGCTCTGTAGGAGAAAGGAGAATGAGAAAAGGAAGGGACTGATGGAGGCGCGGCAGGTGGTGAGAGGGAGGGGAGCCAGGCGGGAGGGTGGGCTCACCTTCATGAGGACCATCAACTGTGTCCACTGACCCTGAGTCAGCTTGCAGTTGCCGATGTTCCCGATCACGAAGATACAGCCATGCGGGGCCTGCTGCAGGTAGAGACTGTCTCGTCAGGCGCTTCCTTGACCACGTAGGTCGTGGCAACAGGACATTGGGAGGAGACGTGGGCCTCCATGTTGGTTCCTACTAAAGGGCTACGAATCCAAGCCTAGAAAAGGCCTTGGTGATTGAAGGGCGCGGGAAAGGAAAGGGAAACTGTGAATCAAGTCTCGGGGGGTGCTTCTGAGCGGGCACATCTACCTCCACCACATTGAGGAGCATGCTGGGGTCCAAGCACAGCCGTGTGGAGTCCCAGAAGGTGTGTTCATAAACTGTAAAGCCCATGTCCTGGAAGACGAGTCCATGCGGTTCTGTGGGGAGACAACCCCCACCAGCTGGTACCCGGCAGGCGGACAGATGGAAGCAGCCACACCAGAGAGTGAGCCTAAGGGGGAGGGTCAGTGGCCAAAGGCAGGACAGTAACAGGAGAGGGACAAGCATACCTTGGCTCGCCCACCATGTTTCTCATGACAGCGCGGAGGACAACAGTGGAGATTGCAAATGGGGTAGGAATCAGGAACAGGGGACAGGGGTCTGCTGTCACCCTCACTTGCCTAACACTCACCTTTTTGAGAAGAAATGATGTAAACTATTTGAGAATCCCGACGCCAAGTTTTGAGGAACTGGGCCCCCAGTTGGAAAGCACCGCTGTCACCTACAGTGTGCACACCCCCTGCCTGCCAGCGAAACAGAAGCAGAAGTACCACGTGCAGGCACTGACGTTTCCCAGAGAAAGTTGGGGAAGGAGGGTCACTTCCTCATGGAGGTCAAAGCAACATGCTCCAACACATACGCCTCCGTTGACTCATTCAACCAGATTTACCGAGCACCTACTATGTGCCAGACACTGTAGTTGGCACTTGGGATGCATAAGGGAACAAAAAGAACACCCTCCACCCCCGTGGTGCTCACGTCCACACCAGGCATGGGCAGCCTTTGCCTACAAAGGACCAAGAAGTCAATGTTTTAGGCTTTCAGGCCATATAACTACTCAAGTCTGCCTTTATAGCAGAAGATAGCTCTCGACAAGGCAAGCAAATGATCGTGGCGATGCTCCAATAACATGTTCTGGACACTGAAATTTGAATTTCATATAATTTTCATGTGTCCCAAAATATTACCCCTCTTTGATTTTCAACCATTAAAAAAAAAAAAGAAAGAGTGATGGTGATACTAGCCCCACTTCAGATTCAGATCATCCCCTTCTTAAAAGAGCTTGCACATGATCACGTGAGCTGGTGCGAGAGCCCTGGTTTTGGGTCCTGATCCTGGCTCTGCCCTCCAGTGACCAAGCTGGGGACTCTTTGAACCTCAAGGGCCCCCTCCAAAGTCTCTTTCAGGTTTATGATTGTACATCCCCGATCCCCAATCTCCACTCCTCGTGTCTCGGTGAGTAAGGAAAGGGCCCTGCTTCTCACCCTGTTCTCCATAATGACTTGGCTGTCCTTTCCAAAGAGGAGGTTCAAGGAGGCCTGGATGAATGATTTCATGCCCATCACTGGCGTGTACTCATAGGTCAGGGAGGGATCCTGGGCGATCTGCATTCGGGTCTTGAGCACGACAGAGGACACCCAGGGTTGGCCTTGGCTGGTCATGCAGACTGTGAGGGTAAAGGAAGAGGCGGCTCTTAATGCCCACCTCAGCATCTGTGAGTTTGGGCTCTTCAGAAAGCCCGCAGATCTGTCCTGCCTCTCTTGGGGCATTGGGAAGTCACCTAGGAAAAGATAACTTTCCTTTTCTTTCTCCCCTTTTATCAAAACAATGTGTTGTTAGTGAATGTATCTAATTTTCATCTTTTTAAAAAAGGCAACAGAAACCTATGCCATTTAAAGGGCAAAAATGATAGACAACGTGAGAGTTGTAGGTACATGAGACTGAACAAAGGTGACACTGACTTTCACCATAACAAGGGCTGACTGCATCCCAGAACAGTCCATTTTAGGAGCCATTCTCAGTACAGGAGCGGAGGAGGGAGGGGGTAGAATGAAGAGGCTGAAGAAAGTACAGTGTCCACGCAGGCCCCAAGCGTAGAGCTGGGGGAGAGGATACAGCTCTTATCAAATCCCAGGAAACCCGCAGAGAAGGGCAGAGGGCACAGAATGACCCAGGAGGTTTTCTGCTCTTTTACCCACTGGGCAATTCTGTTAACAGGAGCAGAGCTGTCTGTCTGGGGAGGCTTGGGCTCTCTCCCGATACGGCCCTCCTAGAGGCAATGATGGTAGACTAGGTCTCACCCTCCAAAACTACGAGGCACCTACCTTTATAGGCCAGGAACATCTTGTTAGGGTGGTCATCTTGTTTGTAGGTCTTCAGCAAGCTGCCTTCTAGCTTCTGGGCTAGGGGCACATCCGTGAACACAGACATCGTTGAGGGAAAGTAGAGCCAAGACTACGCTTCCGCTCCCGAAGGCTTCTGCTCTGCAGCATTCCTCCAAGTCTGGAACCGACAGACCAGCCTCTTCCCAGAACCTTGGCAACTCCAACGCAGAGGCTCCGGACAACTGGTCACCAGAGCAACAGAACCCCACCGCTCACTGTCTCCGCGGTGGCCATCCTCCAGGGCTACGGGAATACTGCAAGACAACTGGGGAGAACCCTCTGAGAGAGGGGGCCGGGGGAGGGAGTAGGGAGGACCTGGAATTCCCAGGCACCTCTCCCTAACTCACTGGCTCCTCTCGTCACCTAATCCAAAATAACAAGTCAGCCCCTTAGAAGATGGAGCAACGCAGGCAGCCATGAGCCCAGTGAGGGCTCCTCCTGCAGAGATGGGAAAATCTCTGACCCAGCAGTAACGCGAGTCGAGGGATACATTTTAAAAGCTTCTACTTTCACTTTGCTCAGGGCTCCAGATTTTTTTTTTTAAATAGAAAGAAATCACTGTTTTCTTCTATAGTTATTTTCATAGAGTCCTATGTTTAGAACAGTATAACTTGCAACTCTCTAAGCCAATCCTATTTCTCTGTTATTTACAGACAAGACTTCTGCATTTGCAAACTGTTTCAGCGGTGGCCGAGCAGCTAGTGTAGAAGGCAGAGGTCAAAGGCAGAAAGCGCTGGCCTTTGCAGGATCAGTCTTGCATTATGCTTTCTTTCTTTTTTCCAAATGACTTTGTGATCCTTGCAGACATTGTTGGTGTCTCACTCAAATACATTTTCCAGCCCTGTTGGTAGATAAGGCTTATCTTTCAGATCTACCTTCCAGATTGTCCTTGGCAACAGGAAACCACCTGGCAGGTTACACCCCCATCAGCATCACACTTACACCCCCAGGACTGCCTGATCCTGGCCTACAAAAAGCCAGCCCTCTTGCCTTGGGGGATGCACGTGGCTCAATTTGCACTTCAGGGCCTATCCCCCAATCAGGCCAAGGCCCCCATCCTTGCATGGCCCCCTCCCCTTCACAATCCTGCTTCCCTCACTTCCTTACAGGTTCCTCCTACAGGGCACTCCCTCTGAAAATCACATGCTCCAAATCTCTGTCTCAGCCTGTGCTTCCAGGGAACCTGACTTGAGACAATGATAGTGGAAGTTATCCTTATTATTGTAGAAAATTTTAAAACTTCAAAAAACAATAACAAAGAACACCGACCTCCTACAATCAATCCACAACCACAGTTAACATTTTGGTGTACCGCCCTCTGGTTTCTTCTCTAAGATGTTTATATTTTAAGATGATGGTTATTGGGACTTCCCTGGTGGCGCAGTGGTTAAGAATCCGCCTGCCAATGCAGGAAACACTGGTTCGATCCCTGGTCTGGGAAGATCCTACATGCTGTGGAGTAACTGAGCCCGTGCGTCACAGCTACTGAGCCTGTGTTCTAGAGTCCACGAGCCACAACTACTGAGCCTTTGTGCCACAACTACTGAAACCTGCACACCTAGAGCCTGTGCTCCGCAACAAGAGAAGCCCGCACACCACAAGGAAGAGTAACCCCCGCTCGCCGCAACTACAGAAAGCCCACGCGCAGCAACGAAGACCCAACGCAGCCAAAAAAAAAAAAAAGATTATGGAAATCAAAATTGCCGTGTCATTTTTCATCATACTTGTTTTCACTACACATTTCAGTTGTGACAATTTTAACATCTGTGCCAATGAGAACTTTTCATGCAGCAGGTAATAAAAAACCCAACCTAAACTAGCTTGAGAAAGAGAAGGAATTTCTTGGCTCTATAATGGGGCAGCCCAGGGTACATCCGACTTCACTCATTGTTCAAGCCAGAGCGTAATGAGTCGTCAGGGTTCCAGCTCCATTTTCCGTGGTTCCTTTGGCTCTGCTCTTCTGGATGTTTCTGCTTTGTTCTCGGGCTGACTCTGGGCATGGGAGCAAATGCAAATGTAGCACATGTGCAGAGGAAACGCATCTGAGGAATTTACGTTGCAGCTCTATTTGCAAATAAACTAAATGCCAATTACTGAAGCAATGTTTACATTAATAATGGGATATCCATATAATGGAATTCCATGCAGGTGTTAAAGGCAGCCCTACGTGTACAAATGTATAAAAATATTCAAGATACATCATTAAGAACAAAGGACGTACAAATAGATAGCAAAGTGGGGAATATTTGGGGGGGTATATCAATAAAAGATGCATTTGCATGTATATGCATAGAAAATCTCTGGAAGGGTGCATGAGAAGCAGGTAACTGTGATCACCTCTGCAAAGTGGAACAGGCTGGCTGGTGGACAAGGACAGAAAATAACCCTGACTTACTTTCCACTGGACACCACGTTGCCCCTTGGGAATGTTAGACCACCTGCATATGATTTCTCATTTAAAAAGTGTTTATGGGCTTCCCTGGTGGCGCAGTGGGTGAGAGTCTGCCTGCCGATGCAGGGGACACGGGTTCGTGCCCCGGTCCAGGAAGATCCCACATGCCGCGGAGCAGCTGGGCCCGTGAGCCATGGCCACTGAGCCTGCGCGTCCAGAGCCTGTGCTCCGCAACGGGAGAGGCCACAACAGTGAGAGGCTCCCGGCCCCCCAAAAAAAAAAAAAAAGTGTTTATGTTTTCAAACAATGGATGCAGCCTTTCCAGACGTTACATCCTCACTATCCAGAAGAAGAGAAAGCATCTCTTCTCTTGGCTCCTTGCAAGAATAGGAAGCTTCGCTCCTCGAAGCCCCCAGCCTCCTTCCTCTGGCTGCAGTGGGTCACTGGCCCATCCCTGACCAAGGACGGGATACTCTGGTGAGTGTAAACCAATCACCTAGAGCTGAGGGGGGGTGTTCATCCCTCCCAAACTGCACAGCTAAGAATGGACAGAAGCATTCCCTAAAAGAGATGCCACGTGTTCTCAGAAATGGGAGAGGGGAGAAGGGATGCTGGGAAGGCAGTCAGAGAGTGTTCGCTGAATCATCCATTCCCAAGGCTTAAGAACCACCATCTTTTTTTTTTTTTTTTTTTTTTTTAATTTTGGCCGCACGGGCTCTTCCAGTTGCAGCGCGGGATTAGTTGCCCCACAGCATGTGGGATATTAGTTCCCCGACCAGGGATCTAACTCACGTCCCCTGCGCTGGAAGGTGGATTCTTAACCACTGGACCACCAGGGAAGTCCCCAGGAACCACCATCTTTAATGGCTATTTTTATGTGTGTTGGTTTTGTGCTTCCAAACGTGTTAAACATCCACGGTCCCCATTGCTGTCTCCGCAGCAGAGGGAAGGTTCCTTTCTGGTCTACCCCAGGCTATGGAGAGTGACAGCATGTGGGGAGTAACAGAGGGGGCGGTTGGCTTGTGCCTGAGGCTCTGCCTGGAAGCTGATCAGCCAATAACTGGGGATGGAGTGTTTGTGGCCCCAGGTTCTGACCATTCCTGGGGTGTTCCCTAGAACACCAGCCCACGCTCTAGGGGCCCGGGCTTCAGAGTTGTGACACACGGGCTCAGTAGTTGTAGCTCGTGGGCTCTAGAGCACAGGCTCAGTAGTTGTGGTGCATGGGCTTAGTTGCTCCGCGGCATGTGGGATCTTCCTGGAACAGGGCTTGAACCCATGTTCCCTGCATTGGCAGGCAGATTCTTAGCCGCTGCACCACCAGGGAAGTCCCACATACTTTGCTTCTAATAAACACTTGTATCTTTTATCTTTTTCACAATCTTGGTCTCTTTGCTGAATTCTTTCTTCAAAGAAGACAAGGACTGAGGCCCTTCTTCCAGCTTTTCACTGCTGGAATCAATCTGTCAGACTTATTGTTGAGCTGCACCCACAGGCCTGCAAGCCATGTACTTGTCCAGTCTCAAGAGCCCAGAGTCAGCAACAGAGACATCAATGGTGTAATGGATGAGAGGGATCTTACATGTCTGAAGCAAGGTCTTGGAATGACACCCCACTGTGTGTGGCAGACAGCAGGCAGGACAAGGCAGTAGTCTTTGCTCCCAGGGTAATAGAGAGATTACCAGTTATAGGGAACTTGACGTCAGGATGGCTCATCTGTTAACAGGGAAACCAGCAAAGGGATGCACCCCTCATGGCTCCTTTGGTAAACTATCATAGTTGAAATATTTCTGATCTAAAGATTAGAACAATCACTAGCTAGAGCCAGGGTAAGTACATAGGCATTTACTGATTAGGCTCTATGATTAAGAGGGAAGGTCAGTCAGGTGAGTAGGGTGTAGGTGAAGCAGGGACTGGCCCAGCAGGGGATGTACAGAGAGCAAGAGAACAGCCATCTTGGGTGGCCTGACCATACACTTATATATCCGACTCCAGTTTCTTTCCTAACTTCCGACTTGGAAATCCAAATGCCTACATAGTATTCCAATAAATCACTCATAGACGTTTCAAATTTACTGTATCTAAAAACTAACTCATAGTTTCATATCCTCCCATCATTTCTCCCCATTTTAGTAAGTGGCAAGTCCCTTCTGCCAGGTTCTCAGCCCAAAACTCTTGGTCTCATCCCGGACTTCTCTCTCTTTCTCTTACACCCTACCTCCAAGCCATCAGCAAACCCTGTCAGTTTTACTTGGTAACATATTTAGAATCTGTTCACTTTAAAATTATTACTTATTGCTGGAAGGGATGGGTGAGTGGATGAGTGGAGGGTACAATCTGTGTTTGGATGGGCAACAGAGGGTACGGTCTGTGTGAAGGTACAAAGAAAAATTAGCTCTTTAGTGAATTTAAATGTCGTTGGGGGAATTCCCTGGTGGTCCGGTGGTAGGACTCTGCACGTTCAATGCCGAGGGCCCGGGTTCAATCCCTGGCTGGGGAACGAAGATCCCATAGGCTGTGCAGTGTGGCCAAAAACTAAAACTTAAGTGTGGTTGGAATAAAAGTGTATGGGGGAGAGGATTGGTGTGAAATCAGGTTTGGAAGGTAGGCACTTGTCCATCTAATGCCAGGCCCTTGTGTTAAGGGGTCTGAATCCTACCCCAAACACTTCAGAAAATCACTGAATGATTTTGAGAAAAGGAATGACACAGATTTATACTTTAGAAAAATCCATCTGTGGGCTTGTGGGAGAT